CACACACACACACACACACACACACACACACGAGGAGTGAGATGACAGAATTTTACTGGACAAATGGTTGCTCAGAATGACAATGAGGCATGAAGGACAAATTTGAGAGAGAATCATTTGACATTTTGGGAGGCCTCTTAATTTGCCCTCTGGTGGAGACAGATTTAATATCAATCCCCCCTCTGTATGCAAATAAATATGGAGATAGCTCCTGGAAACACGAGCAGCTAAAAGACAAGGACTATTCTGTGAACATCAGTTGGTGGAGACCAAAAATAGAGATAAAACAAGTGAATGACAGGCTTGTGGCCGTAATCTCATTGATGCAGATTACAGTAAAAACAGCAGTTTGATTATAATAGTAAACATACTGTGACCTGGAACTGTCAGTCAGCTGCACATTGAAAGTGGAATATAACAAACTGTGCATCACTCAGTCCAAGCTCAGGATGTTGAACTGACTGAGTGATAGGAGTCTCCAATTATTATGAGGTCAAATCAGTTTATGATGAAAGGTCCAAGCTTTCAGGTGCACAAAAAACAGAGAAAACAGCAGGAAGGAAAGGAAAGCACAGTGTGGAGGGTTTTTTTTTCACCAAAATGAAACCATACGAGAAGTTCAGAGTGAAAAAATGACTCTGGGGTTGAACTGCTAACAACTCAGAGACCTCTGAGATGTGACCCCGACTATATATTGCTCTTTATAAAATGCCTGAGGCCAAAAAGTGTGGAAACTGCTGGTTCAATCTTAAACAGTTTTTAAGAGTTTTATTCATGATCCTTTGTGAGAATAGTTAATAAAGCTGTCAAATAAACAGTGGTGGAGGAATAATTCAGAAATTTAAGGTAAATATAATAAAATGTAGTCCAAGTATCAAAAGTGCACATGCAGACAAATCGTCACTCTCACTGTTTTACTGAGAGGTCATGTTGCATTTTTAAAGTTAGGGTGAGATTATTTTATAAAAGTTTGTATAGCTACAGCGATGCATCATATTATATAAGATCAAGTTTATGGTGTTGCTGTCCTGTGAGAGCCACATACTGTATCTCAGAGCCCGTTTCTTCTTCTAACCTCCGGCACCACATTGGGTAGAGGCAGCTGCTAACTGGCACCTCCTATCTATAATAGTGTGTCTCCAAGATGCCCAATGTTTCAAATGGAGTTATTTTCTTTAAGAAATATGTTGGATTCACGCTGAGTTAATGTTCTGACAAGCCAAATGTTTTGTGTTTAGGAAAAACAAACAGATGGGCATTCTCATTAGAGGTGCAAAATGTGGGTGTGTAGTGTACACACACGTATATACACTGTGTATATATATATATATACACACACACACACACACACACACAAACACAATGTTTTCAGAGTTAATTTACAGGTTTTGTGAGAAAGATCTAATCTGTAACACATTGGTGTATAGAAGCTGTCTTATTTCTCACTGCTAAACTGAAATTATCCAATTTATTTCAGCATGATTCCCCTGAGCTCACAGGTCTGCTGGGCATTACAGCTCAGTCTCCACAACCACTCTGTTACGGCTTTCTATTATAATTTGATGTGATTTGCTTTTTCACTTGTGGGCTGAAGCCAAAACCTGCATCCCTAAACAATGAATTACATGCATTTCTGTGCACAGCATGCAGTGTTTGGGTGGAAATAGCTAGGCCCCATGTTGTTTGAGAAAACTGACATCAGACAGGGACTGGGCATTATGAACAGCTTCATGAGGGATGTTATGAAATATAGTCACAGTGAAGCGTCATCGGTTGACGCAGAAAGAAAGTGGAGCATCTTTTCAAGCAACTTGCCTGAAGGGGGCTGGAAGAAAAAAACAGATGGTCGACCTGGCTGATGAAACAGTGTTAAAACCAGAGTAAAGTAGGTTAAGCAGTGAGTCTGCAGATTGATCATTTAGTCAGATTCTCCTCAGTGTCAAGGAGGCAGAGTGAGGCAATAAGACTGAAATGTTCTCTATCAGAGCAACTAGAGCAAGTCATACCTGCAGCAGTGGAGACATTTAAAGCTCACCGTCTGGTTTATGATACAAGCTCCATTAACATGTGGAGTTACAGCAGAGTACAACTGAGTTACAGGAGAGAGGAGGAGAGTAGTGATGTGTGGAGGAGAAGAGAGAAGTCAAAGAACAGTCACAGCAGGTTAGAGTTGAGTAAAGACTGACAGCAAAGTAGAGAAACTACACTATACTGTACTGTACCATCCCATTTCAAAGTGCTAGAAAATAATCCTGATCATTTTTACAGCGATGTTATCGCTGTTAATCTCAGTTTAGGTTTGAGATTTTTAATTTGTAACAGTCAGATTTCTTTACAAACCAGTGGGGTGAATTCTGGGTAGTAAGCGGTTTACTCAGGAGGCTGAAAGCTTAAGAAGCTACTAAATTGCCTTATGGGAAATGTAGTAACTGGTGGTTTTGCAGGTTGATCCTTGAGACAAGTGGTTTGATATCAAGACAAGTAAGACAAGCAGCGTTTAACTGGTTAAAGCTAGAAACGGACATAATCAATCAGAACAAGTGAACTCACATAATGTCTCTGAACAGTGTTTAATCATATAAAAGATCTGATATTGTATGATTGTATTCATCTTGTAATCTATTGCCCTCTTGTGGCTGCAGTGGGATTTAGTCTCTTAAAACTACTTTGAGTACCAGTTAGTTTCTATAATGTTCGTGGGTGTGCTTTGCTAGCTACAGACACTAAGCTTGTCAAGCTGCCCTCGACTCAGCCTCCGCCGATTAGAGATCATCATTATTAGTTGCACAGATTATTTCAACAGTCTTTTCTTCCAAACCATTAAGAACTAGCATTAGCAAGTAAACAAGCAGAACCTCAGGGGTGTGTTGTTTAAAGAGCACCTTATTGAACAGGTATGATGCAGGAGTTTTTTTTTTCATATGTTTACAGTCAGTTCAAAGGGGAGAAGGCTGTTTCTATAAAAGTCACTTGCTGTAAACTGCAATTAGCTGTCAGCTCTGTTCAACTGAGCTTCACTACAGACAACAGTGAGAGCACAGATGTGTTCATACTGTCGTTCAGGGATGATTCAAACTGCCCATGTTCACACAACTGTTATCACATTATGATGCGTCTGTTTTAAACAAAAACAAAACATGTATATTATGGCTGAATTGTGAACAGTGAACTCAGTCACCTGTAACAGCAGCTCCCCCCCGCTGCTAAAAGCTACGGATTTGTTCAGTGACAATGGTAATTAAGTATTTGTTGAACACCTCTACTAAAATTCATGGTATCGTCCAACTTTATGGAAACGAAAAATTAAATCACAAATCAGTGCGGCTTTAAAAGAGAGATAATGGAAAACTATTTTTTATCACAATTTTGGTTCTGGCGATCGGACCTATCAGTTATTGTAACACCCCACCAACCAAAAATACCTGCTGAGATCTGGAAATGCTGGAACTTCACTAAAACAGCTCCAACAGTCTGATGATCCAATAGGTTTAAACAAATCTATAATTATGCACAAACCTGGCAAGTATTTGATTTTTTACTTTCTCCTTTGTTTTGTCTCTTAAAAACATTTGACTAACTTGTTCACGGTCTGGCGGATCATTTGACGTCTCATGCTTGTTGCCCCATTAGGATTCATTTTTGCAGCGTTGCAGAATCTTTATCAGATCTCAGCAGTTACCTCCGTTAGTTTCTGATAGACACGATGGTTAAATCTACTGAAATAAGAGCAAAGCCCTTACAATGTGCAGCTTTTATTTAAAGAAGAGTGAAGAATAATAAATTAGAGTCGTAATCCAGCAAAGTAGAGTTATTAAATCTGTCAAGGTTGGAGTGTGTTTGTGAATTAGCAGGATTACACAAAAACTACTGCACCGATTATCACTAGACTTGGTGGAAGGATGAATTATGGATCACAAAAGAACAGATAAAGTTTTGGTGCAGATCCGTAAACCCGATCCAATATTTCTTCTTACTTTCTTTAACATTGTGAGGCTGTTTTTTCAACAATTCTATTGATTTTTCAGAGAATAATTTATGGAACTTGATAAAAAAATCCAGCATGTTTAAGATGTGAATAACAATCTGGCTCTAGTAAATAAAATTGGTGGAGGTATGAACTCTACTGCTTGCATTCTTGTTACTGTAAAGTGGAGAGTAAGTTCCAGCAGAGTGGACCACAGTAAAGCAGCGTTAAGGCAGAGTTTAGTGATGGTATATGTAGGATTTATTGTGCTATTCTCTTGGAATATCTTTTTAATGTCGTTTTTTGGTGCGATGCTAATGAACATAATAAACTTGCCCCCTCTGTGTGTGTGTGTGTGTGTTTGTATCTGTTTGTGAGTGTCATGTGTGTGAGGACAGCACAATGACTGAAGACTTTGATAACAGAGCTTCCTGCTTTCAAAACTGCATGGTTTTTATTTGCTGCTGTGAAGAAAGCGACTACCGCAGACACTGAATGAAAACAGGAGGTGGAGAAAAGACGAGGGCTGAGTGTGACCCAGACCACAGCTGCTGCACAGAAGAGCTCATTAGGGACGCGAGCACATGCACACGCACACACACACACACA